TTTCGACCCCACTGCACCCCTAGGGGGGGAATTTTTATTACCTGAGCTGTTATTTTTGGGATTCTCTTTTACCTCTGGACAACTTGTGTGTTGCTCCTGACTACACATATCACCCCCTACTATCACTGAGGCAGCAGGCCGAAGGCACCTGCCTACACTCCTTTCATCAGACAATGGAGGGCCGTCCTCGGCTGTTAATCCTCTAAGTCTGACAATACCCCCCACCCCCTTGACATCTAATTTCATGACATACGATTGTATTCTTCTTTATTGTGTCATGTGTCAGCCATCTCTTCTAGATTGAAGAGTTGTAGTTTATCTAAGCTTTTCTTGTACGTAAGCCCACTCATAACTTTGATCATCCTTCTTGCCCTTTGGTGAGGCTTTTGTAGTTTTGCAACAGTCTTTTTGTGTGGGACCAACAATTTTGTACAATTTTTTAGATATGAACAAACTATAGATTTATATGATGAAATAGTAATATTATCTCTTTTATTCTGTTTTTGATCCTTGTGACTCTTGACATTTGATTTACTTCCTACTGCTCAGATTAAACTGGCGTTTTTGTAAAACTGTCATAACCTCAAGATACCAATCCTGAACTACAGTCGTTAGCTCAGAACTCAACTTGTGCATGTGAAATTTATTTTTTCACATATATGTCACATCATGGTTATCTACTTGAATTTTGTTAGTCATCAGTATCGTCAGTCACTATTTCTTCTAAGTTCATTCTGCAGTCTTCACAAGTGAACTATTTTAGTGCCTGCAATAACATAGTATCATCAGTAAACTTTGTCATCTTACAGGTTAGTCTCCTTTTCCAACTCTTTTATAAAACACCTTGAACAGTCTAGCACAAGTACCTACAGAACTCCATGGGTGACTTTTTTCTCCTGCAATAACTAGCCATTTCCTCCTGTCTCTGTTTTCTGTCTTTTACCCGATTAATTATCTCTGCAAGGACCTTTGGTCTTGTGTCAAGGTTACCAGGTTTCCTGAAATGCCTTTGGTGAGGGTTCGTGTTAAAAGCTTTTTGGAAACCCAACTAGAATATATAATTTTAATTTGCTTCATCCCTTAGTGATGCTTTTAAAGAACTCTAATTCTACAAAATTGTGGAATTCTACATAAACACATTAACTCTCCCCAACCGGACAATATTTATCCAGAAAACATTCAATTCTAAGTGAATGCGTCTGAATTAGATGTGTATATGCAGATGTCTGCAGTGTGTGTTGTTAATACATGCAGCAGGAGCCTCGTTCAGTTGCCCACAAGTGCAGTTCTGGAGCTACTGAGATGCATATCCAATGTCCACACAAGACTAGCCGGCATGACAGAGGAGTTCTGGGAGGCCTCTACCTTTCTGTAGTTGCATTTAATTTGTTTCATAGTAAATATTTGCTTCTGTATATGTCATGTCAGGATCAAGATTTAGAATTTCTCTAAATACCTCAGACACTATTTTTTCCAGTGTTTCAATATTATTCCATAAACAGTATTAAAAAAACAGCTGTATATAACCATATAATCTGTGCATACACAGTTGATGACTTCTACGTATTTGCTTTTAGTTTGGATAAACAGGATTTGCTGAATTTTTACATAAACACATATTTTTTAATTTGTTTGATTTAGATTTTTCTCCTGTTACAAGAGGCTGATGATAAAAACAAACTTTTGCGAACTGTGGCTGGTGCAGGTTTGGACACTATCAGTAACCTAAGAGCTACATGGGACAAATTTGAATTAATGATGGAAAGCCACCAGCTTATGATTACAGAACAGGTAACAGTGCAAGATTAATATTTTACCTAAAAATGTTGCAATTATTTTGAATAAGTCTGGAGAAATTTTTTTTTTCAGATTAAATCCATGAATGTTCTCAGTTTAGTGTGAACACCAACATTATTAAGTTGAGGGAGAGCTTTTAAAGGAAGAATACTTAAACTGTTCAAACAATGACTAGGTGAAACTTCTGTTCAACTGATCCTGAAATGAATGTTACATTGTTGTACTTCTGTCTCAAACAACATTCTGATGACAGAGATGACTTAGTAAATGCAATGATTAACTGAGGAAAACCAGATAATAGTTAAAAGATAGCATTGCTATTACTTTTTCATGTTTACTGATGCTTGTTTTCTTTTCACACAACTTTGCTAGACTATGCGCAGTCCTGTAATTCCAGTCCATAGGCAAATTGCTGAACTGATTTGAAGTTCTACTGAAGATATCAATGTGCCATACAAATATAGCAATTTTTCTCTGTGCTGTAAGGTGCAACTGAATAAGTAGCATGGTCCAAATAAATAGGTCTCAAATACCAGCATAAAAAAAAAAATTGGTGCCCCGTTTTTAAAAAAAACAGAATAAAGATGAACCGTTCCTTAGGGTGTTATACAAGAAGCTTTTTGAGTTTGATTTTAATCAAGTTGTAGTTACCAAGTTGATCGTGTTTTGAAGTTGATACTTTGATTTTGATCATAGTTGTAGTTGCAAACCATTGAAAGATTTTCATTTTAACTCCTGCTTTACAGATTGAAATGATGAAAGGAAATGTGATTTCACATATTAATGTATATCTTCAAGACATGGAAAAGTTTAAAGCTCGTTGGGATCAGCTAAAGCCAGGTGATGATGTCATTGAAACAGGTGATCAAGATGTGCTTGAGAAAAGTGCTCAGATCATAAAGGAAAAGAAAAAAGAATTTGATGAACTTGAAACCGTGAAAGAAAAGCTCATGTATGTATGTTTGCCTGTATACCTCATTCATTAATGTATGGATCTTTTGCAGCAATAGTACCTCAGAAAATCTTAACTAATTTTTATCACAACAAATAATACAAGGGATTTCATTTTATTTGTATTCCATGTTTTTCATTAGTTTTTCAGAGTCCTTTTTGTCGGTTTTACATAACATTAATTTCTTAAGCTATGTTTTTCTGGAGTTCTTTGGAATGAAAAATTCAAGAAGTCTCTTAGGCTTTCACGTAAGGGAGTCTGTACACTGAAGACTTGATTCTAATTTCTGAAATTCTCACTAAGAGAAGGTTTGGGATATTGTCCCAAGAAGGGGGAGTTATTACTTCAGTCCCCTTGTAACTTAAGTGGGGAAGAACTCACCTCTTCTGTTTCTTAAGTGTCCTATCTGATAGACTGTTGTGCAAAAGGAAAAGATTTTTGCTGTGAGTGCCTACTTTCAGTAAGCTCATTATTGCACATCTTGAGTGGACAAAGTTTTTGATTTAAATTCTTAGCTTGACACTTAAATATGATAGTAAATAAAATTAGCATATTCTTTCTACCTAACAGAATGAAACAATCAATTAAAAATTATTTTCTTTCAAGCTTTGTTTTTGGGGGCACAAAGTAATTAACTTTCCTCATAAATGAGAAAGAAGTGGAAGTTTATGGAAAATAATTATGAATATGGGAGAAGATTGCTATGTTATCCCTTGTATTCCTTTATGATTTGTATTCAAGAAGGAGACTATAAGGAATTTGCAGTTGGCAGCAATGTTCTTCAAAGAAGCCAATGGCTTTTCTTAAAAAAGTATAATTATTTCCATATGGTATAATCTCTTAAACCATAAATGTATAATGGAATAACGTAATGTATAATGCAATGATCTTTTTATTCAGTGAAGAGTGCCATCATTTTAAATTGGAAGAGCCTGACTTCTCATTGTCGAAAGTTGTATGTCAAGATATTAAGAGCTGTGCAGAAGTCTGGGCATTGTATGAAGAGTTTTATCAAGGTTTTCAGGAAAAAGCCAAAGAAGACTGGATTACTTTTAGGTATGATTTTGTTACTTTGTTTTTCATGGACATATATGTGTGGTTGTAGTACTGTGTTGTTATGACCTTTTAATATTTGATTTTTACACAGGAGTAAAACATACCTATTTGAAGAATTTTTGTTTAACTGGCATGATAAAATGAGGAAGATGGAAGAACATACTGTAATGACTGTAAAGTTGCAAAAAGAAGTGGACAAATATAAAGTAAGATGCTAATTACAAAAAGGGGTATAAACCAAAAAATTTTTTGGTATTACTGGTTAATATACTTCATTCCGTAGCTCATTTTTTAGTTCTTACAATAAAATCCGTAACAATTTAACAAAATATCTTCTGATATTGATTTGAACATTTCAGTTACTTTGAGAAACTTTTAGTTCCTTACAGTGAACAGGAGGGTCATTACAGTTTACATAAAGACATATTTAGCAATAAATTTTCCCTAGAGTTATACTCCTAAACATTAAATTCAGGAACTGAAAAAAATGTACTTCAGTTTAAGAATGTAAATTTTTGTTTTGTTTGAATAACGTGTCACTCTGTAATCAAACAGATACAGTTTTCAAAAAGACTAGATGAATTTACATATGCTTCTTTCCTATAGATGATAATTCCACTCCTAAAATATGTAAGAGGAGAACATCTTTCTCCAGACCATTGGCTGGATCTCTTTCGTCTTCTGGGTCTTCCCCGAGGCACTACACTTGAGGGTTTGTTATTTGGAGATCTGCTAAAAGTGACGGATGCCATTATAGAAAAAGCAACAGAACTTAAGGTATGAATAATTTCAAATAACGGTACTATGTTTTATGTCTTATTTTATGTACTATATCTTGTCCTGTATGCATATTTATATTTTTATTACTATTGAAATAGAATTTACATTATATTTTTAAATGGGAAGTTTATTGCAAGCTCTGTATTTTCAAATGAAATTGATTTATGCTTTTAAATAGGATTTGAATTGTCGGGCCCAAGGTGAAGTCACAATCAGAGAAGCGTTACGTGAGCTTGAACTCTGGGGTGTAGGAGCTGTCTTTACGTTAACAGACTATGAAGGTAGCCAAGGAAAGACTATCAGGCTTATTAAAGACTGGAAGGACTTAGTCAACCAAGTTGGAGATCATCGTTGTCTTCTACAGTCCCTCAAGGACTCTCCATATTACAAAGGTTTTGAAGATAAAGTGTCCATCTGGGAAAAAAAGCTGGCTGAGTTGGATGAGTATCTGCAGAATTTAAACCAAATTCAAAGGAAATGGGTCTATTTGGAACCGATATTTGGTCGTGGAGCTCTGCCCAAAGAACAGGCTCGTTTTAACAGAGTTGATGAAGACTTTAGGTTAGTGTTATGGAGTGCAACTTATTTTTCATAGTATCTTTGACATGTGTTGGCTAGAATATTCTTCATGGTGAAAATTTATGGAACAATTAGAATATGTACGGAGATGAAGGTCAGCAACAGGAATTCATTAGATTTAGATGTGTGGCAATGACATAGATCTGAATAAAGGGAGTAACGCAGATTTTATGTAATGAGGTGCATGTGAAGAAGGGAATGATATGAAGCATCAAAGATCATGAACAAGGCAGGCAAACACAAGATAAGATCAGTGTTCTTATTGCACAAGATCTTCTTGCCAACAGAAGCAGAGGTGATGTAACTGTTTTTTCAAGAATCCTTTCTTGTTGAAGACAAGCACTAAGAAAGTACACAGATGGACTTTTGGGAGAAACAGATGGTTTATTTGTTTCAGACAAGTCAAGGAGATAAAAAGGGAGGTGATTTTAGAAATGTAGAAAGATATGTACTGCTATCTCTCTTGATTTGAGTTAAAATAACTTCTTAGAAGGAAATAAAAGTCGAGAATTGAATTTTTTTGGTTTTGGGTAGAGAAATTTTAGCATGAAAGAGGTGTTATTAAGTTACATTGGAGAGACATTGATGTAAATTCTGAAAGATTTTATCATTAATTCTGAAAACTGAAAATGATATATCAGCTATTTGTATGCTTATGTATGCTTTAATTTTTATTTACATAACTACTTGTGTCTCATATTTGTAATTTAAACTGTAAATTTTTATGAATTACTCATTTTTTTTCTGCCAAGATCCATTATGTCAGATATCAAGAGCGACAATAGGATAACATCACTGAATGCCCGGACAGGAATAAAAAATACCTTAATTACCATACTTGACCAGCTTCAGAGATGTCAGAGATCTTTGAATGAGTTTTTGGAGGTACTGCTGTCGTTAATGTAGTTTTCTATAAAGAAAGTCAGTAAGTTTGAATTTAAATCAACAAAACTGTTTTATTTTGTTTTTATATAGGAAAAACGCTCAGCATTTCCAAGATTCTATTTCATTGGAGACGATGACTTATTAGAAATTTTAGGGCAGTCCACAAATCCTCTGGTTATCCAGTCTCATCTGAAGAAACTTTTTGCTGGTAATGCATTAATCTTCATTTGTGAAATGTATTTATTTAGAAGTAAGGTTCTTCAAAGCTAAATAATCTGTTGCAGACTTTTTTTTCTCTCTTTTCAGTACTAGACACTAAGGAGTTAATGTTTGACTTTAAGAATATATAACTTCATTACTGTTTTCTGATTAATAGGCATTAATAGTGTGAGCTTTGATGAAGAATTTAAATACATAGTTGCCATGAAGTCTGTAGAAGGAGAAACTGTGCCATTTAAAAATAAAGTTCTTCTGTCAAATGATGTGGAGGTAGGAAAAATCATGTCCAAGTACAATTCAAGTGTCTTTGAGAAATTATTTTGTAATGTAACTTCTGAGGCTTTTTCATCGTTTCAACAGGTGTGGCTAAACAGTTTGGCTTTGGAGATGAAGGAGACCCTGGAAAAAATGTTAATTGACTGTCTTGACGCTGGAAAAAAATCACAAGGTTCAATTGATCCGTCGCTCTTTCCTTCCCAGGTAGTAGTTGGTCCAGTAATGCCACTGTGTAATCTTAGATTTACCAAATAAGTTATGTTTTGAAGTCTCATAAAGAAGTATACATATGGATTTGGAAGAAAATAGAATCATAGAATCATAGAATGGTTAGGGTTGGAAGGGACCTTAAAGATCATCTAGTTCCAACCCCCCTGACATGGGCAGAGAAGTCCTCCACTACACCAGTTTGCCCAAAGCCTCATCCAACCTGGCCTTGAACACTTCCAGGGATGGGGCATCCACAACTTTTCTGGGCAACCTGTTCCAGTGCCTCACCACCTTCAATGTAAAAAATTTCTTCCTTCTATCTAATCTAAATCTGCCCTCTTTCAGTTTAAATCCATTGCCCCTTGTCCTATCACTACACGCCCTTGTAAAAAGTCCCTCTCCAGCTTTCCTGTAGGCCCCCTTTAAGTACTAGAAAGCTGCAATAAGATCACCCCGGAGCCTTCTCTTCTCCAGGCTGAACAGCCCCAACTCTCTCAGCCTGTCTTCATAGCAGGAGAAAATAACCCCAAACAAATCTGTTTGATTAATTTGTAGTATAGAGAAATTCTTAAAGATATGTGTTCTTATAATTGTTTTGTAAACATTTGAAGTACTCAAGTCTTTTACATGGCACCTGATCTAACATCCATCTGTTTATTAAACTTGGTGTAAATCTTGATCTTAGTTGGTAGTTCATGTTACATACAGGGCTGCTAAGACTTAATAACATAGAAAAGCCTTTTTTGAATCTGATTAAAATATGGTTTCTAAAGCTTAGCTGTATAAGCAGAAATAGTCATGAACATGAAATTCTTGTATGCACTTTTGTCCAGTAGCACAGAGAATCACATAGAATCACAGAATGGTTGTGGTGGGAAGGGACCTCTAGAAGTCATCTGATCCAATATTGGCAGGTATTGGGGTGGTAGAAGTCCCCCATGAGGGCCAGGGCCTGTGATCGTGAGGCTTTCCTTCCTGTTCTTCCTAATGAACCTGTATCCCTCCCTTGCAACGGTCCAGTCATGGGAGCCGTTCCACCATGTCTCCATGATCCCAACAAGATCATAGTTCAGTCACTGCACACAGATCTCTAATTCATTATGTTTATTCTCCATACTGTGTGCACTATCATACAGACAATTTTAGAGAGGTCCCCCAGCATGTTGAGTTTCTGGAGAGGGTGAAGGGAATTTCTCCATAATGATGCCTTGTAGGTACTTCCTTACTGACATGAAAGTGCTGGAGATGACTCCACTTAAGCCCCATTTTGTTGGTTTTTGTGATCCTTTCCTGTCACATCACCCCATGCCCTTTGCTCAGTGATCCTGTCTGTCACCTCCTTGCAGGACAGCTGGTTACTCCCTCCCCCAGAATGTAGTCGCTGTTACTCATCTTCAGATTGCCATAATTGGTGTAAGTTCTGAGTTGGGCTCAACTTTCATAGCTCAGACAGGGCTTTTCCAGAGGACATGAAGTAATGAGAACGCAAGTGGAGTGTTAGAAACCGGAATGCAAGATACTGTATTAGCAGATCAGTGACACAAAAAGTCAGAGGTGCTCCTAAGCCTGTTAAATATGGGCTCAGCATGCCTACAATGTGGTGGTTTTCATCTGACATGTCATTTCATGGGAAAAGATACTTTAAAAATTTTTCTGTCACATGCTCTAGAACAGCTAAGGGACTTGTCGGTTTGAAGATGTTATATTTGTCCTTAAGAGCCTAGCAAATGTGTGGCTTTGTTTAAAAATGATACAGTAACATACTTTAAATATCAGACATAATAAGCAATGACAAATGAATTGAAAAACTTTTTCTCTTTATGTCTTGTGTATTTATAAAATGTAATTTCAACTTTCTCTTCCAAAGATTCTATCCTTGGCAGAACAAATCCAGTTCACTGAAGATGTTGAAAGTGCTATCAAAAACCATAATCTGCAACAATTGGAGTTAGAACTCATGGCTAAACTGGAACATTATACTAGCATTGATACTGGTATAGAAGATACTGGGAGTACAGGTATAAAAATGATGATTAATATATAATTCTTTAGATGATTAGTATATAATTCTTTATAATGACTATGTAGTTGTATAGTATTTAACATTCTGTTTATTTAAACAGGAAATTACATAAATCTGTCTCAAGTTCATAAAGTTGAGTTACATAAAGTTATCCACCTATTACTGCAAAGATTAGTGTATTTTATATTTCAGAGCGAACAATAGATTTTTACTTAGATTAAAAGTGATCTTGGAGTGTTTATATATTTGCAAACCTCTAATTATTTTTTAATATATTTTTACATTTTTTTGTTTATATATTTCCTGATAATTTGTCCTCATTTTGTGCTCTAGTGTTATGTTTTGTGGGAACTGGCCAAACAGCAGTTGAGGTACATTATGTCATGCCAATATGTTCTGTACAACTGTGTAGATGATTCTCTTTTTCTATCTTAGATGTATACATCTGCAGCTGAACTAATAATTCCTGAGTACCTCTGTAGCAAAACTAATAAACTAGTTATTCTCAAGACACGATTGTTCTGAATCTTACACAGTCCAAATGAGTTAGAATAAGTACGCCTTTGAGTGCTTATTCCTCTCATTTGACCAGAAGGGTGGCTTTGAATGACTACCTGAGATGTAAGATTCTATAGTGTAGGTTAGATGAGATGACTTTTACCCTATACATATAAAAAGACTCAGTTTGTCATGTAGTTAACAATCTTCCACCACATTTGAATTTAATACAGTAACCAGCTATACTAGTTTAGACTTTATGAGCTGTTAACATCTGATGTATTAACTGAGCATGAGATTCATATCACCTACCTTCAGCAGCCTGGAAGTGTGACTGTTTATCTAAGCTCCCTTTCTGTGCTCTTTCTATAGCCATTGGAGAAATGTCATCACTTACAGAAGAGTGTTTATTCCATCTATTGTATAACATATTTACAGCAACTTTTTAGTTTGGGTAATAGGTGTGATTTTGAAGTGAGTTGGCTGCTTATCCCCACTTTAATTCCCGTCATAGAATGGTATAGGAACACACAGACTGGATTTCTCTCAAATGAAACTAAGCAATTATGTTCTCAGAGTATGCTTGATGCACCCAACCTGCTAATGAACATTTGTTCCACATCACCCTCGTTAGTCTGAAAAATCTCCAGAGTGCATGTAGTATGGTTTTCAGCTCCTCAGCAGATAAATTAACAGATTGTGCCACACTGATTACTGAAGTGGACATCGCTGTAAATACTCAGAATAAATTGCGTTCCAGAAAAAACTCCGTCTCTCTCTGTGGAGTGTAGAGGCACACAAAATCACTTCTGAATGACTGAAGTTATATGATAATTCACATTCTCTGTCAGGATCTCATTTTATGCTGCTTGATTTAGATAAAGATATTTTTATATGTAATTGAAAAGAGATATGAATAAAATCTGCTGATAATAGGAAGCAGCGTGATGAACTTGAGAACGGGTGACGTGTATCTTCCTTACTGCACTGTTGTGATGTTTGATTTCTTTTGTGTGTGATTATTTGCAGAATCAGGAATCCTTGAGCTCAAGCTTAAAGCTCTGATTCTTGATGTCATTCATAACATTGATGTGGTGAAGCAGCTGAATCAAGCTCAGGTTCACAATGTTGAAGACTGGGCTTGGAAGAAGCAGCTGAGATTTTATATGAAAGACCAAAAATGTTATGTTCAGATGGTAGATGCTGAACTCCAATATACTTATGAATATCAGGTGTGATATTTTTAATTTTTACCTAGTGGCTTTTATATATGTCAAACACTTCCTCATTTCACACATGCTGCTGATTGCCTCCCAACTGTTGCCATTCTTTTCTCCTTTGTTGTGTCCTTAGCACGCTGTTTCATGGAAATACTAAAAGATAGGGTAATCATTTTTGTTCTTGATATTGATGGGGTAAATTTAAGTTGTATGAAAAGCAGCTACATTATCATATAAATATTTTCTAATATGCTTCCTACTTTTATATATCACAGTGCAATTTCATTTGTGTTGGCCCTTTCTCTGTAATTCTAAAAAAAATTGCACAATGCTTTGACATTTGATACAAAATCAGGAAAACTTCATAACTGTAAACAAATTCATATACTAATGAGGCAGTAATCTTGACTGTTAAGTTGTATTTTCAAATTAATGACTTAGGAATTAGATCAATGAAATTACATTGTCAGTAATTTCTGTCTAATAATCAATATAATTTGTTTTGCTTCTGCAGGGTAATTCCCCTAAACTTGTTTATACACCTTTGACAGATAAGTGTTACCTAACACTTACTCAGGCTATGAAGATGGGCCTTGGAGGAAATCCCTATGGTCCAGCTGGAACTGGAAAGACGGAATCAGTAAAGGCTTTGGGTGGACTTCTTGGAAGACAAGTATTAGTCTTTAATTGCGATGAGGTGAATATGGTTCTGTATAATTTAGGAAATGGATATCTATGCCCATACTTCATAAAGCAATATTATATTCTAGAAATACTTTTGATAATTTGTCAGTTTCCATTAGAAATTTGTGGATATTTCCAATGACATATTTTTTAATAGATTGGAAGACAGTCTTTCATTATTTTCTTGTTGTTTGAATTTTGATAGTATTCTTTTTAATTTTAAGGGCATTGATGTGAAGTCGATGGGACGCATATTTGTGGGCTTAGTGAAGTGTGGTGCCTGGGGCTGTTTTGATGAATTCAATAGACTTGAGGAAGCTGTATTGTCTGCAGTATCCATGCAGATTCAGACAATTCAACATGCATTGAAGAAACATAGTCCTGTGTGTGAGATGCTTGGCAAAAAGGTACAACAAAACTTACTTAATTTCTTCTTATAAAAATAGTCTGTAAACAACTGGGTAAAACTCAAAAAAGTGACTACTGTAACTAAACATAGCCCACCCAACATTTCTCAGTACTGTTTCATATGACAATATGCTATTACAATGTGCTTCTAATGCTAGGTTGAAATGGATCACAATTCTGGAATTTTTATCACTCTGAATCCTGCTGGCAAAGGTTATGGAGGAAGACAAAAACTACCTGATAACCTCAAACAGCTTTTCAGGCCAGTTGCTATGACTCATCCAGACAATGAACTCATTGCAGAAGTGATTTTGTATTCAGAAGGCTTTAAGGATGCTAAAATACTCGGCAGAAAATTAGTGGCTATTTTTAATCTAGCCAGGTAATCTGCTTTTTTTTTTTTTTCTCCCCACCCTCATCACATTACCTTTCTAGTTCTCTTCCCTCCTGCTTTTATTTTAGCATTGATCTTTGTGGTTATCTCACTGCCATCTTGTTTCTTCTCCGTCTAATCTATGCCAAAGCATGACTGTAGGATACAATCTACACATACTTTCTGTTAATTTTCTGTAGTATTTTATGACTTGGATATTGCAGAAAGCTGTGCATCAGAACCAAAACTAGACATAAAACCGCAGGTTTGGAGTTATCTAAAGTTTTCCATTCAATACAGCTCTTAAATCTGAATGATATACCATGCAAATCTCTGTAGATACTAATTTAACTTGTAAAATAAAAATATTGCAATGTATTGGGACATTCAGGTGTGAAAACACCAGGGATGCAGTTGTAATGTGAAGGTTCAAAATACTGCTCCTCTATTACGCTCACCGCTCACTAAACGCAAATGTGAGCATATGAATGCTCACAAGCTTTGTGTTGAGTTTAGATTCTTGCAGTTATTGAAATGCAAGTGACTATTTGGTTATCAGTATGCATATTAGAGAGAACAAAGTTCAAAGATTTTCATTAATGCTGTTAGGGACAATAATAAATACATTAGCTGTTGAATATACTCCCTCTGGAAATTTCAGTGTCATTGCTTATATCTCTGAAATGCATTTCAAATGGTACTACAGATTGTCATCAGTTTCTTTTTTGCACAAAACCTTATTATGAGCATATTCATTCGTCAAACAAAAATTTCAGGCACTGTCGCCTGAAGCTTATTACAGTGTTGCTGTTTTTAAATTTAGGGAGCTTCTGACACCACAGCAGCACTATGATTGGGGTTTACGAGCACTGAAGACTGTTTTGAGAGGCTGTGGCAGTCTTCGTCATCAGCTGAAGAAGAGTGAAGCAAAACAGGAAAGTAAGGTTGACTATGCCAAACTTTTGATTATTTAGGATATCGTACAGATATCATTCACTACAGCTTTCTTGTTCACTGGAGTTTTGAGAAGCCATTGCGCAATTTAGAAAAGAAAAAAATATCTGTGAAAGTCCTTCTTCATTAGGATGTCACAAAAGACTGTTGCTGTGTTCTAGATTGAGCTTTAATATAAGAACATAGATATAGATAGGACTTCATTCTGGGATGATTTTGAGTGATTCTCAGAGAGTCTTGTTTTCACTTGGCTTAGGACAAGAAAGTTGATCCCCTGATGCTGTCATTATTCATTGATCATCAGACCACTTTGATTCTATTTGAGGTTTGCTAAAGTTGTCACATGGATTTAGATACAGATTGGTAGACAGAGACAAATATAAGGACGAGTAGAAATGATAGAAATGTATTGGACTAGACTGAGTCACTATATTTTTAAAAGATTTTTTTAAATTATTGTCTTCTGCTGTTTAGATGTTTAATGAGTGGGAATTAAGAGTGTGGGATGAATGAGCATTTCACATCTTTACTAGTAGTAGGACAGTAAACTACTGTAGGACACAGTAGGACACAACTACTGCTTCTTGTTCGCTTGAATAGCATATATCTGAAAGTTTTTAGAGATAGTCTTGCTTTACAAATCTTGGCTTACAAATGGTCTGACAACTTTGAAGAACTTGTGATTGACTTTAGTTAAGATCTGCCAAAGAAGCATTACCAGCAATGTGTTTTAGGGCACATTCTTATCACTGTTCCTTGCTGTGACGTATTAGCTTTGTGTTTAGATATGTGAAATTTTCTGAAATGTGTTTGATCTGCTTTAAAATATAATTTCAGTAACTCTGCAAAAGGCAAGGTGGATAGATTTAGCTTATGATTTAAACCCCAAAATTTTTCTTTTTTTTTTTGTTTTGTTTTGTTTTTGTTTTTTATCTCTTAGCTTGAGAAGATGAAGATATTTCCAACAAATGCAGTTTCCTGTTTCTTTATGTTTGCTCTTAGTGTTGAGTCAAAATCCTTTGCCATGTGAAAATATTGGCCATGTTCTTAAATGTTGCTTAAATTTTTTATTACTTCCTTTAGTAGCACAGTTCAACCTTCCTAAATCAAGTTCCTTAATGTTAGCTGTTTATCATACTTTTTAGAAAATTTACCTTTAGAAGCATTTGCATTTAAGACACTGTTCAGGATGAAAAACTTTGTATTTTTTCCAAATTCTGGAAGGGTATGCTAATCCTTAACCTCTGGAACATTTTGGAAAAAGCTACAGGAAGAAGGGAACTTAGGAAATGGACACTTTCCATCCCTTGTGTTGAACTTGGGGCAATCATGCATTCAGAAGGAGGGCAGAAACACAGGATGATTTTCACCTGTGGTTCCTAGTCCTACTCTCTGAAAATGTACGTTTTACATAAGAAAGTAGTTTGAATTAAAAAGAAAAAAAACAACAGAGATCAGAGCCGTGTGCCTTTCCTATCATGAGTATCTCTTGTTTTTCGGGTAAAGTTTTCTTGTGGATGTTTTTGTTCTAGTCTCAAAACACATTTCCATGGCACTTCAAATTCAAAAGGAGTCCTGGAGAGTGTTTACTTTTGGAATATTCATAGTTAATTAGGACATACTTGATCGATGTGACTTCAAACTGCTTCTGGCAGAGTACGGTCTAGAATCTAGGTCCTTAATTTCTTTTATGAGTGCTTTAACAAGTAAGCTATCATGCACTGCTACTTTTAGTCCCACTTCAATCATTAGACTATTATGTACTATCTGGCCAACATCATAACCATCTCATACCTGTATAGAATCATCTGTAAGCATATATGATACTTGGCATTCATCTAACTTCCAAGTAGAGTGGTACATGAACTGCATTTAGTCTGCACTGTGATTCCATGTGCCACATCTTATCAGTATGGGTTCAGATGCTGATGTATTCCAAGGAAAAAAAAAAACAACAAGAAGCAGCTTAAACTGATCTGGCTTCTTTGTTTTTTATTTCCAGTTAATGAAAGTCATATGGTGGTTCAAGCTCTACGGCTTAATACCATGTCAAAGCTTACATTTGCAGACTGTGCACGTTTTGATGCACTGGTTGAAGATGTATTTCCTGGCATTGACTTTAAAGATGTAGAGTATGCTGAGTTAACTACAGCTTTACAACAAGTCTTTGAAGAAGCAAACTTGGAAATTATAAACACTCAGGTAAACATCAACCACAGCAACAAAACGAGTTATTCTGAATTAGAAATGATTAATATTACATTCATTTGACTAATTTCTGTTTACTTCTGAAAGAAATCTTTCATAAAAAAGTGAGAATAACTGATAGATTTGAATTATACGTATATAAAAAGAGATGTGTGTGTTTGAAGCATGGTAGATCAGTTGTGTAACTGAAAGAAAAATATTGCAACAAAAATTAAGATATGAACATGCGGCACAATTACATTCAAGCCATGTATGAATGCCAATGAATGTTTTGGACAGTGAAAGAATTAAAATATGTGAACATTTGATTTTATCAAGCAGTTCTGTGTCTCATAGTTATTTATCGTAGGACTGGATGAAATTTTGTGACTAAAGGTTCATTAATTTCTCAGTAAAAAGGTGCTCAAAGAGGACTGATATTTTTTATATTAGTAATTTAGTGAAATGCTTCTAACATGCAAAATAAGTTTCTTGATAATCTTTAGTATCATAATTTTAATTACTTCTGCAAACACCTGTTGTTTCAAAAAATAAAATTATAGAAACAAAGTGACTGCATGCCAAGTAAATTGGAAAAACATTAAAAAGGAACATGATTGATTTAGCTTTACAACTTCAAGTAGCCATTGTCTGTTCTGTTATCTAGATCAAGAAGGCTTTGGAATTATATGAACAACTACGTCAAAGAATGGGTGTAGTCATTGTAGGTCCAAGTGGTGGAGGTAAATCAACACTTTGGCGGATGTTAAAGACAGCGCTTGGTAAAACTGGCAAAGTAGTGAAACAGTATACTATGAATCCCAAAGCTATGCCTCGACACCAGTTGCTAGGCCATATTGACATGGATACCAGAGAATGGTCTGATGGTGTACTTACAAATAGTGCTCGACAAGTGGTACGAGAACCCCAAGGTATGTTTGTGAGGGATTTATACGTCATTATGCTTAAATTGCTGAAATTGTTTATTTTTAGTTACATTTTTATGTTACGTTATTATTTGTGGATAGCATAAAGTAAGAAGAACTTTTGGTGACAGTCATGGTCGAGAACACTGATACATAGTTTCCGAATTTTATGGTAAGAAAGCAAAAATAGACAGCAGAAGGTAAAGTATGTAAGGAATATTTTCATAGACCTTGTATTTAAGTTATAATGAAACAAGAGTATTAAAGAGTGTTAAAATAGCACGGGGTGATTTAAGTGTTTTTCTTGGGTTTGATATTTTATTTTTGTGTCTGGAAACAGATGTTACTTCGTGGATAATTTGTGACGGTGATATTGATCCTGAATGGATTGAATCTTTGAATTCCGTTTTGGATGACAACAGATTGTTGACTATGCCCAGTGGAGAAAGAATTCAGTTTGGCTCAAATGTCAACTTTATATTTGAAACTCATGACCTTAGCTGTGCCTCTCCTGCTACCATATCTCGAATGGGAATGATCTTTCTGAGGTAAGTCACAGGAGTATTGCATACTTTTAAAGTAAGCAAATACACTTACTTTTTGTGAAAGACAGTCTAAAGTGGATGGAGCAATTTAATTACTGACTTAAACTTATTAAGCAAATCACTGGGGAAGTTTGCTTTAGATTGCATGTCCCTTCTATGTTTTCATGTTATAATCTTTTGGCTAATATATCTCAGACTTTTTGAAACAGGCATGGTGGATTCTTTTTTTTGTGTGACCCTTAGAGAGCCCAAACATTGGTTAGAAATTCTTGTTAAAGTATTTCCCTGAACTTTTCCTGGAATTTTATTGTTCCTTTAAACCTGTCTATATGAAGATGTGGATGCCTTGTATTTGTCTGAATCTTGGGTTTTTGTTTTTGTTTGACTTAGTGATGAAGATACAGATCTTAATTCCCTGATAAAGTCTTGGCTAAGAAGTCAACCTGAAGAATGCAGATACAACCTTGAAAATTGGATTGGGGACTATTTTGAAAAGGCTTTAAACTGGGTTGTGAAGAAGGTTGGTAACTGAATACTTAATAAAATTTCAGCTTCTGTTAAGGGTAATCCATTTTCTAGTTTATCACCGAAGAGATCATTCATATTAATTTTTAGATTTTAGGGGGAAAAAAATCTCAATGCTTTTTTGATAGCTGATTGCTGTACTTAAAGTTTTGAAACATTTAATACAATTTTAGCTAATGAAATGCATGTATTTATGTCAATTTCTTATAGATTCTCAAAATCTGTAAGGAAAGTTCTGATTGCTTATCCTAAATTATGTCAATACGTAGTCTGGAATTAAAACTCCCAAAACAACACTTAAAAAGATTATTTTTATTCATGTCAAGTGAATTTTCTGGAAAAACAGCAGTGTTGAGATCTTTCTTCATTTGTGGAAGTGTCAAAGAGCAATGAGTAATAGTCTGCTAGCAATGCATCACATTTATTTTTAGAATTATATTTAAATCTACTACAACTTACAATTTACAGAATGACCCTGTGGTAGAAACAAGTTTAGTTGGAACTGTGATGAACGGACTGTCTCATCTTCATGGGTGCACTGATCATGGACAGTTTATTATTAACTTGTTACGCGGTCTTGGTGGCAATCTCAACATGAAATCGCGACAAGAATTTGCCAAAGAGGTAATAATAAAAATTTTCAGCAGTTTTATTAAAAATTTCTCAATATATGTATTAGGAATAGTGATTTTCTGTCTTCTAACAATCTTAAATTTTTAGTAAAAGAATATCTGTGCTCTAATTTGTTTGCAATCTGTGTTGTCTATAGGGAAATAGCTGACAAGTAAAGGATAGTTTCATATGTCACTGATACATTGCTAAGTGCATCTGGCCCAGATAGCAATCCTTCGGTGCTGCACCAAGAGATACAGAGTTGCCTCTGTCCATACTGCTTTATGCAAGGACCCACTATGAAAGACTGTGTGTGTACATGTGTTGTGTATATGTAATACAGGTCTATTTTGTGGATTTTTTTCTGTTCAGAGTGCTTGAAATGATAATGTGAGTGCTTTGTTGCACCTCACCAGGGAGGTGTTCTTACAGCATTATTTTAAGGTTATGTATTGTATGCGATGGGATGTGGTTCTGTGTTTGTGTAGATACTTGAGGACACAAAGACTAAGGACTAGCGTTGGAAAACTGTGTGGATATACTGGTCCATTGTGTCTACAGAAGGCTGTCCCTGGAGATAGTTATCTCCACAATCACACTTAGTTTTTGTGTTGAAGAAAAGGAAACAATTCCTTCCAAAAGACAGCCTGGAGCTGTAAGATATCTACATGGCAGATAGTAAAGGTTTAGACTCAGCTTGTGGAATTGGCCATTGATGCATGTGAAGGAGTTATCTTGTTCTTATGATTGTTATTAAGTATATTGCCTAATATGAAAAAAAAAGTTTATATAAAGCTTTACTAAATACAGTTCATTTTATGTTCTTTGCATTATGAAAAAGTAATATGTGGAAGAGTAATATGTTACTGTTTTATTAAGGACTTAACCATAAAGTATGTACATAACATGATTGAATTTTCAAAGGCAGCCTTAAAACTATCAAATCAAGTAATTAAATGTTTGATTTTACAGAAATATTCTTTGAACTTTCTTTAGATTAGATTGAAATTGTGGATCTTGACATTAGGAGTATGGATTTAACAGAAGCTTTATTTTTATTTTTTTAAAGATCTTCAGTTGGGCACAAGAATCTCCACCGGATCCAAGGAAGCCTCTGGACACATATTATGACACTGACACTGGACAGCTAATGCTGTATCAGCTGAAAAAACCTGAAAATCTAACAGCTGATGACTTCAGTAATCTCCAAACACTTCCCGTCATCCAAACCCCTGACATGCAGAAAAGTTTAGATTACTTTAGGCCCTGGCTAGACTTTTACAATAAGCAGCCATTTCTTCTTGTAGGTCCTGAAGGATGTGGAAAGGGGTAAAAAATGTTTCTAGCTATTTGACAAAGTTTGTATTATTTTATTGTAATCGTTTTACACGTGACTTTCTACTAGAATATCACTTCTGTAGGCTACTAGTGAAACAAACATTCTATAGAGGCAAGTAGGTGAATTCTTCTGAACATATACAGGGAAAGTTCAGGCTGCCACTATGAATCTAAGACTTCTGAATGAGGCTTTTAAATATGAAACAGGACCTTTGGAAAACCTGTGCTGTAATGGAGCAACAGCTGAAAGGTACATGAGGTATCTGGTCTCATCTCAAGAAACACTGTGTCGGTGCAGCGTCTGTGCAGGCAACTGAGTTTAGCTCATCCTGTCACCCGTCTTAGATTCTTTATTTAGATGGGTTGGATCACTATATACAAGATACTTAGGCTCAGTATTTTTTTTGTGTAGCTGTATACTACACTTGCTGAATTTCTGGAATGGAAAATATTACGATTTTTAAGGCTAGAATGTTTAATTCAGCAAACTTCATACTTCACCTATTACATTAATACAGTGAGTAGTATATGCATTTTAATCAAAAACCTGTACAATATACTTGAATACACAGTATTTTAATGCATTTATGTATTACTTATACATATGTACACATTTTCTTTTTTAGGATGCTACTTCGTTATGCATTTTCTCAACTCCGATCCACTCAGATTGCCACCATTCACTGCAGCGCACAAACTACTTCTCAACATCTGCTACAAAAATTAAGTCAAACTTGCATTTTAATCAGTACAAACACTGGGCGAGTGTACAGACCAAAGGACTGTGAAAGGCTTGTTTTGTACTTAAAGGATATCAATCTACCCAAACCTGATAAATGGGGAACAAGCACTCTCGTGGCTTTTTTACAGCAGGTGAACAATTATGTCTGTTATTTTTATAAAAAGACTTAAGTATACTGGAAATAGTTTCGTGTATGTAGTAAATGCCTACATTAATTATTTTCAGAGTTAACATTCTGCATCTGTATTGACATTAATTTTGTTTGTAATTTGATAGAATATGTAGATGTCAGCCAGAAATAAGATACCCTATCTCTTTGTCTTATATGCATGTGTAAATAAAGACAATGCTCACCTCAAAGAGTTATAATGCAGTAGGCCTATGAATGAAAAAATTGTCAGGAGAAATCAGCATGGATTCGCCAAGGGCGTGTCATGCTTGACCAACTTGATAAACTTCTATGATGAAGTGACAAACCTGGTAGATGAGGGGAAAGCAGTGGATATAGTCTACCTGGGCTTCACTAAGGCCGTTGATGCTGTGTCTCAAAAGATCCTCACAGAAAAGCTGTTTATCTATGGGCTGGATAAGCAGGTAGTGAGGTGGGTTGAAAACTGGTTCAACAACCAGGCCCATACGGTGGTGATCAGGGACACAAAGTCTAGTTGGAAGCCAGTACCTGTTTATCATTAATGATCTGGACAATGGGACAGAGCATACCCTCAGCAAGTTCGCAGCTGACACCAGACTGGGAGGAATAGTATACCTCTGGCAATTAAGAAAACAGCAATAGTGGTATACTTCTCACTAATTTAGTTTAATTTTTTTTTGTATGATACTCTGTTGGCTTTTTTTAAAATGAAATGTTTATTTAATTATTGAAGGTTCTTACATATCAAGGATTTTATGATGAAAATCTGGAATGGGTTGGTTTAGAAAACATCCAAATTGTGGCTTCCATGTCTGCTGGAGGAACATTAGGAAGACATAAACTTAGCTCCAGATTTACTTCTATTGTTCGTCTCTGTGCAATTGAGTAAGTATGTGGAAATTAGTTGGACTCTCAGAACTCAGATGCAGCCTCTGTTTATAGGGCTCTTGCTCAATTTAGTCTTTATGAAGATGTGGCTGTTGTAGTCTTTCATCTTTTCTAACAGTTTGGGATCTTCAGATTTGGTGTTGTTTGGTGCCTTTTGGCACTAGAAACCAGCTAAAGAGCAGTCTGTTGATGATCAGAACCTGTTGATAATGAAGTGTTGGAAATATGCTTCCTGTTGGATGACTTTGCTTTCAGTAAACTGCTTTCTGCAGCTTTATATTAAGGTGCTGTTTGGTTACAAAATTAGAGAAATTGAAAAGAAGTTTGTTTGTTCGTTTTAAAGTTTGAACACATTTACAGATGTGTTTAGAAAATTTATGAGGGTGGCCTATTGCAATAAAATGATAATTTTACTTAGCTGCTAGGTGGAGATGCTATTCATTGAAATTTCTCAGTAATTGTGTATATAACTGTGAATCTTTTAAATCAAAAATTAACAATGATAATCCATAATAATTACTTTATTTTTTTCCTATGTAGCTATCCAGAAAGAGACCAACTGCAGACTATTTATAGTGCCTACTTGGAACCTGTATTACAAAAAAAACTAAAGAATCACCCTGTTTGGGATTCTTTACCAAAAATACATCAGCTAGCAGGATCTATGGTTCAAGTATATGAACAGGTATGGACATCTAATTTCTTTTTTCAAGGAGATGGAGAATTCAGATTTTTTTTTAAATAATCAAGTTTTGATATTAACAGGAGAATAAAAATGTTTATCAGTATTAAAATCCAAGTTTATATCTTTTTCATAATGTTGATATCAATTTTAGAGCCTACTTATTTGCGGAGAATCCTAGGTATTAGAGTCAAACTGAGTAAGTGGTAAGTGCTCTTGCTTTCCCACAGGTTTATTGTATGGTTTTGTTAAGCATCTTAACCTATCTGTGCTTTCAGTTCCTGATTTATAAAATGTGGGTAGTAGTGTTTTCCTACTTAATGGATGAGACAGTGTACTTCAAAGGCTGTTATGTGCTCAGATGTTACGGATGCTGTTATGAATAGAGAAGAGAGATATGAGGGTGGAGTCCTTTACACACATCAAGGACTACCTCTTAAAATTTTACACTGTTAAAAACAGGTATTTAGACACACAGTTCATTTCATCCTCCCACTTAAAATCTTACAGACTTCTATCCAGCAAAACACGTAAGTACTTACTTTTCTTAATCATGTACATAACCTTACTGGGGTAGGTACTGTGGGTATGTAGGTGCTTACTGTATGTTCCAAGAATGTATATATGCATGTTCCCATCTAGACAGAGCGATGATATAAAACCTTTCTTTATGACTGGAATGTTGGTATAGTCACCCGCTAGCATGCACCACTTAGCACGAGTTTCATACGGTACTATCAATGTATTCTAAGAAATCTCAGTTTAAATCTCATCACACTAAGACCAAATAACTGATGAAGGCAGTTATTCTTTGAATTAAAGATGTAGTTGTAAATTCAAATATCCTCTCTGGGGGCAGAGTTAGCATTTCTATACAAAGTCTTTTGTAGTGACTAAGTGTTACTGATTTAGGTAGTTTTTTATTACACTTTTATATTTCCTTTGCATTTTATATTTGGTATTGCTTTAAAAAAATTATGTGTTTTGTCTAATAATACTGCACTACCAGTCCTAGGTGACATGTGCAGTTGTTTGCATCAAAAACAGTACAGAAGAAATGTTCTAATTATGAAAAAATCTTTTGTGGTCAGCAAACAAGATTTAAAAAATTCATCTCTGCCCTTTTCAAAAAAAATAAAGAGTGAATTAATAAAATATCTAAATATATAGACCAAATAGAAAACTAATTTATCTAGTATTTTTAAAAAACGAGAAGCTACATTTCCAAGTGCTTTACATTTTAAAACATCACTTTTTTTTTTCTCCTCTTAACTTCCGTTTTTAGGTACGAGCGAAATTCACAGTTGATGATCACAGTCATTACCTTTTTACACCATGTATTCTTACTCAGTGGATTCTTGGTTTGTTCAGATATGATTTAGCAGGTGGTAAGTTACTTATTTGGTTTTCATTGATAAAGCAGTTCTAAACAGCCTGAATTATTATTGATGTCAGTCTTACTGTTGACAACACGTGCAACTTGTTCACCTGTGGTACTCTTTCTAAACTGTGAACTGTCTGTAACTCAATAGAGGGGGAAAAAATGCCCAACAGTTCATTCCATAACATACAGTAAACAAGTTTAAAAAACTCCAGTAATGTTTTAAAATATGTGGGAACTGTTTAGAGATAAAGGGAAGTTAGTAGTTTGAGGCTACATTCTCTACTATGGGAACTTGAAATGTACCCTCTACTCCTTACCATTTTTTTCTGATTTTTTTTTTTTTAATTTGGGTTGGGTTTTTTTGAGCATATATCTTGTCTTCTAGATTCCCAGAGACTTACCTCTTCTGCTTGTCTTTTTATACCTCGTTGTATAAACCTGGTGAGGTGACCGTGGAACTACAACTGATACACATCACCTATGACCTGCTTAACAAAAGAAGAATAAAACCACCCTTAAACATATAGAAAACATCTAGAAAACTCTCTCATCTGTGTAAAAGATATCTGCCTTAATATTCTCTCAGTTTCAGAATGCTTGATAATTAGAGTCTGGTCTGAAAGTTCTTCTTTCCTTGACTTAGGAAATGGTGAAATTTGTAAAAGTATTCAGTTTTGTGTGCTTTTCCAAATAGACAGCATAAGCTTTCTAATCTTGTTTTTGTGTCTGAAATTGCTATTATTACCAGATCTTGAGCAATTACTCCTTATTGTCTTTTAGTTTTTACATTAATTAAAGGATTACATAGAGGGCTGCTTAAGGAGTATAAAAGTGATAATGTTGTTGTGTTCACTTGCCTATAATTTTCTGGGATCATCAAATGTTATAAATGTAGCTTGAAGGGTGTCCCTGCCCATGGCAGGAGGGTTGGAACTAGATGATCTTTAAGGCCCCTTCCAACCCAAACCATTCTATGATTCTGTGAATGAGGTCAGAAGAGCTACACTGACAATCAATGAATGGGTAATCTCAGCCCATTTAAGAACTGCTTTGTTATATCTGCAGGTGACATATGCATATGCTTTTTCAATGATGAACAATATGACATGTCATTTACTCATCTCACCTTCCTTCTTTTGTGGAGAATGTTGAAGCTTTGTATTCTCTACTGGTATTTTATAATACAGGCTGGTTTGGGTATTTATTGTTATTTTAGTATTTGTTATCAGTCTTTCTCTGTTTAAAACAGTCTCCTATATTTTCTTCTTTTCATTGCCTGGAATTTTGTCCTTTAATTTTTACTTTGTGTGCAACACCTTGTTTGCTTTCATTAGAATGCTGGCACTAAACTGGGGAACTTGTTTTAATAGAATATGTTTCATTTTATGTTGTAATGATCCATAAAGATATTAAAGCACTTCATAATGTTTACTTTTTCTCTTATTTCTTCCTTACTGGTATTCTTCCTGTTGGTATGTAATTTCACTTACTCATTTTCAGTCTCATATTTTGAAATGGAAAATTTGAGAAATGTAACATTTGTTATAAATATATAAAGTTAAATCTCTGCTTAAATCTCTCCTAAAAATAGGATCATCGGCACAAACTGCAGACTGTGTGTTGGAAATTGTTCTTTACGAAGCACGTCGTTTGTTCCGTGACAAAATTGTTGGCATGAAAGAACTTCATGTATTCGATAACATTTTGATGAAAGTGTTTCAAGGTGATTGGGGCTCAGCTATTCTGGACAATATGGCAGGTAAACCATTTGAGGCATGGTACACAAACTTGAAATATTTGTTTAGGAATTGCTGAATCAAATCAGCCTGATAAGTCCAATAGCGTATGAGCTGAGCTCCTAAACTTTTGAATACTTCCTTTTATTTTCACAGATATCTTCTATGTAACTTGGGGAGTCTGTCAAGAGGCATTCATCACACCAGGACAGGCACTACCACCACATGGAAGGCCACTTGGCAGGCTAAACTCAACAGACTTGAAAGATATTATTCAAAAAGTGAGACAAGAGTAAAGAACATACACAGCAAGGATTCATAGCAATTATTCTAGACATTTTTTACAGGAAGTAACATGCAAGCACCAGGTTTAGGGTGGGGTCCGTTGCTTCTTTGCTGAATCATCTTTTGCATTTGGTCGAGGGAGGAGGAGGTTTGTGATGCTCTGTGGCAGGCAGTAGGAAGTATCATGCAGCAAGGCTATTTTAATGAAAAGGGCATCACTCGTATTTGCTGGTGATGTACAACAGTTTGATGAACAACATTTTGAGAAACATGGACATGCGTATATGTTTGTGTATTGTTTGAGTACCAAAATGTTTTATTAAATGTTTGCTTTCTGAATTTTTGATTTTCTAATGTAGTTTTTATTTGAAGAAATTATACATGGATTGTTTGGAGATTTGGCATGCTTTCAAACAGAAAAGTACGAAAAATGGGCTTGATGAGGAAATGCAAACATGTTAACTCTGCTAGGCTGACAGATTTTCAGGATGAGAGCTTTGAGGTCATCTCCCCTTATTAGTAGTGTTGGATGGACTGCTCTTGTAGATGGGAAACTACTCCCTCACCTTATTTGCCAACTTGTGACCAATAGACTATGGGAAACGATGAAGTTCAGTAGCTTCAGTAACCAGATAGTGTGTTTTTTTTTTCTGACTACACAATTACATTGGGCTTCTAAAATGAGGTTTTATTAAGTATAACAAGGCCAGAATTTAATCTTAGGATCTGTTGTTATGTGTGTTTCATTAGGAAATTCCATAATCTGCAATTATGCAGCAATTAGCTGCCTAAAACACTATTCTCAGTTATGTATTAACTAATCTGTAGTCAGAGACGCAGCTCAGACTTTGTTCTAGTCCATTATTTGATTTTAATTAATTCAATGGTAGACTTCTATTTCATAGTATCAAAGACTTCTGATATCCTGGTACTGGGGGTAATGGGATCTATTCATTACTGTTAAAGGGTGTGCCAGGTAACTAATACTGTCACATAAATAATTTATTTGTAATGAATACCAGCGTAGTGTCTTAAGCTTTCAAGCCCTTCTTTTCTAAACTTTTAAATGTTGAATGCTTTCAGATCTTGCTGCTTTTATTTATTATTAGTGAACACATTTCTTTTTTTCTTTTTTGATAGGGTATTATTCATTATGGGCGAGACAAAAAAGAAATAGAGATTTTACTGTTCCAAGAAGTCCTCAGTTATATGTCTAAAGTGGACAGAGTGCTAAGTTTTCCTGGCGGATCACTTCTTTTGGCAGGACGAAGTGGTGTAGGTCGTCGAACAGTTACCTCTTTAGTTAGTCATATGCACGGAGCTGTTCTGATTACTCCAAAAATTTCCAGAAGCTATGAGCTGAAGCAATTCAAAAATGATCTTAAATATGTAAGTCACTCAGTATCTTCCATTTTGTAGTGTTGTAGGTGTGTATTAAAAAAAAATACAGGAATTTTGAAGTACACAAAAGTGTCATTTGAAGAGATATTTTAAGAAAAGCAAAATGTCAACTGTCTAAATGAAACAAGTAGATTTTCAAAAGTTCTCAGTGTCTAGATGTGTATACTGTAATTACCTGAAACCTCTGCTTTTTGGAATACCAGAGCTGTTTTTATGAATTTTGTAGACTTCCTAAATTCTAAGTTTATGCGAATATTGGAAAGGTTTTTTTCATGGATATATTTTCATATTTGTATATGTTTTTATTTTCTGTCTCTACTATGGTCTGCCAGTTAATAGGATAGTAGCTGAGTCAAGTAAAATTTTAGTGATTGGTGAAAGTGTACCTATTATTTAAAAACAAAAAGAAACCTTGAATCAGCAGTTTCCCAGTACCTTCAGCAATGCTAGAGAAAATTCAAGACCTAAGCTCTCACAACAGAGTGGTACAACTCTGTAATTGACTCACATCTGGAACAGAAATATACTCTATGAAAGAGTCTGTTTTAATTATGTTTTCATTACTAAGCTGTACATCTACGTAGAATGTTTTTTATATTTGATATATATCTGAATCACCTAGTATTCTTTTGTAAGTATATAATAGTGTAGATGCTGTGGAGAAAACATATATGTGCCATATAATCAAGGAAAGATTATCATTCTCTTATGAACAATACATATATTCTCCATACTGAGATTTAAATGTCTTCCCGGCTTCTAGGTGATGGAGCTTGCGGGCATTGAAGCACAGCAGGTGGTATTGCTGCTTGAAGACTATCAGTTTGTTCATTCCACATTCCTTGAGATGATCAACAGTTTACTGTCTTCAGGTGAGACAAATCCAAAAAGATGGTACTACTTTTGCCACATCGAGGTAGCTCAATGAGGCAGAATTAGAGGATGTTTTTTAACTTTATGCCTATACAAAAGTAACTTTATTTTGTTAACTAGCTTTGTTCCACAGGCAGAGAGATCTTTCAAGGAGTGTCTAACTTGCTGAATGTTTTTTTTGAGCTGCAGTAGTTTAAGAGCTGATCAATAAGAGCACCAGATTTTCCTGTCTCCCACGTGCAAATCCAACTCTCGTTACAGCATCAGATTCTCATCAGCCAGTGTTAAACCTCTATGTCTGAGGTCGTAGATAACCACTCTCATGTTTCTGCTTCCTGGTGTATGACAAAGTCTGGTTTGATTTGTTTTGTATGCAGTATTGGATCACTGTCTTTGGGTAGATTTGAATGAGTTTTTGAAGTCTATTTCAGTAACATAAACAAAGTAGGCTGTTTAAGTTAAATGGGATCACTATAATTTGGCTTGTTGTTTCCATGATACCATGAAAAGAATGGTGAAGTACATGGGATGATACTCATGAAAGTATGGAGGTGAGTACTGCCATGTTTGAATTCTCTATGCAGAGAATTCAAGGGAATCCTTCAAAGGAGTTTGAAGAATTATTGTATGTTTGATCTGACATTTTATATTCATTCTTGAAATAGGAGAAGTTCCTGGGCTATATAAAATAGAAGAATTAGAACCATTGCTATCTCCTCTGAAGGATCAAGCTTCGCAAGATGGATTTACAGGACCAATTTTCAACTATTTTACATACCGTATGTGAACAGAATTAGAAGTTATACTTTATTACAAAGTTGCAAATGTGGGATATTACTAGACAATTTCTAATGTGGTCCTTGCTTTGTGTACATTTTTAACTTTCAGTTAGTTATTAAAAACTAGACGGAAATAATGATTGCAGTGTGATATTTGAGGACACAGAACTCAGCTTAAACTTCATTCTTCTGTCTGAAATTTTGTATCCATGAATGTTCTACAAAACTGTTAGGAAATGTGCTGTTGAAAGCAATTAGAAGGAAGAAAGCTCTTGTCCCCACCATTTTCTGGTTTGTTTAGCTTGTGTATCTAGTAACAGAATTTTCTTCTATTTGTCAGTTATACCTACAAATCAGTTTGGGTTCTGAGTAATCATAAGCAAGTTTACAGATAGGTTTCTTAATTATTTGTGTTTCTTCCTTGGACCAACAAGAAAATTAAATAGTTTATAAATAAATAGAAGAATGTGACTGAAAGAATACAGATGTTGGCAGTCATACTCAGGGGTCCTGGAACTACTTCTAATTCTGACCCTATGGGTCTATATTGGCTGGAATGACAGCTAGTGGTATCTATTTAAATACTGTCAGCTCTTCTAAATTAAAAAAAAATGTAATATACATAATAAGAATCCACGATATTAATTTAAGTTCTGTTTCTAAACATTCCTGCCCTAGTTTGATGTGGTGTAATAATATCTTTTTTCGGAAATTACCTAATGCTGAGTATTTGAAGGAAAGTAAATTTTGTTGTATTTGCAATAAATCTACCATCATGTAGTCAGATTGTTATCTACTAAATATTTCATATGTTGCATTTTCTTAGGGATCCAACAAAATCTGCATGTTGTTTTGATCATGGATTCTACCAATTTAAATTTCACAATAAACTGTGAAAGTAATCCAGCACTGTACAAGAAATGTCAGGTTTTGTGGATGGAAACCTGGTCAGAAAACAGTATGAAGAAGGTAAATTGCATTAATTGAAACCTGTGACTTGTTTAAATTAATATCTCCAAAAATAACTGAGCTGTTGTGAATAGGGTCAAAATATTTAAATTGTGAAGGAGTTATTGTCACTGTGCTTATTTAATCAATTTCTGCAGTCCTACAAAGAGAATTCTACAGAACAGTTAAGTAATATTAGCGTTGTTATTTTACCAGTAACATTATGTTTGTTCTCTCTGTGGGCTGCCTTGAGGAAAATGCTGACTGCTATGACTCTGATCAAACAGCATTTAAGAACAAAATACAAATAGACTGCAAGCAAAATGTTAAAGCCAACTATGCTGATGATATCTGCTGTTGCTAGTATGCTTAACAGCTATTTTTAAAATAGTTTTGTTAAGTGTATATGAGCTGCTATAGATCTCAGATTGCACTGTAAACCTTATGTTATTCTTGAACCTTTGCCAAGTGTTTTGATTGATGGAACAGAGTCAGCGTGTTTTTTTTAGGATCAAAATCTGCACATTTCAGGATGTTTACAGTGTAAGTTTGAGAAAGAGATATATTACTTCTATATATTAAGAGATTTCTAAATCCAGTACTCTGATAGGGACAAGGCTGCCTACCCTTCATGGCTCCAACTTGAACCAGAGGTGAAGCTGAGCATGGATTCGCAGTAGGCACACACACACAGACACACCGTACATATGTACGTGTGATTGGCGACCCAGAACAACACAAACAGAAAAGCGTAGCACAAACATAAACAACGCTGTTGGCATCATCCTGTTCCCCTCTCTGAGTGATCACAATGAAGGTCCATTAGTAGGAAATATGTACATGTGCAGAATATGAATCCCCTGCCTCCGGATCCCCTGGTCTCCCCAGTTGCTGGCATCTGGATGTACAAGCTCTTGAGGCCACAGCTGCACTCCAGCTGCTGGTACAGACTGCCTCACTGTGTACACACACACACACACACACAGAGGCACAGTGAACCCTTCCAGTAACTGTGCTTAAACAATCAGTCCATCCGGTAGCCTTGGATGTAGGATCTCCCCATTGCATCCCGTGCAGGCACATACAGGTACAGACATACTGGGTCTCGTTTGACTCCCAGACTCCACAGTCTCTCGGGCAGTTGGCCTGAACCTTCTAGTCCCTTGTGACAGCCAGCTCCTGTGGGTGCCTCACCAATCCATAGTAAGTCTTGTGCGATCTGAAATGCTCTTCCACTGCATTCCATAATGTATCCCAAGACTCCTATGCAATAACACCCTCAGTCTTGTCTGTAAGGTGATCTGGACTCTCCCATTGACTCATCATGGTGGATTTCACACCTGGACCATGAGGTTCATTGCTTTCCTGGAAAAGCCATGGGAGCAAATGGTGCAGTGACCATTTCTGCCTGGGTTACTGGGGCTTGTCCAAACAACAGTTTGTACTGAAAGGTCTTTTTGGCAAGAAAGTTTGAGCCTGCTCTGTCCATAGTTAAAAAGTGTTTCTCAGAGTATTTTCACTTTCACTTCAGTAGGGATTTTTTTTTTTTTTAATGTGGAATCTTAATGCTAGAACCATTTAATCATATGCTATAACCTATGAATTTGCCACTGTATGTTGTATAGTTGATAACACAGGAAGGTAAGCCCACTCTTTGACCATGAAAAAGACCTCAAAGACCCTGACATAGGCATTGTTTAATTCCGGTATTGTATCCACGACAGTTGTACTTAAGACTGTCTGACCTCCTGTTGAGTTGTAGATCTTTTTACATCTTTGACATTTGTGTTATTGTAAGAGTCCTTTCAGGATTAGTTGCTCTTTCTTGCAGCCAGCAAAAGCTCCTCTGCTTGAGAGAACAAGAAGTTATCAGTGAGAGGGAAAGGCAGAATTAATCTTTTTAATGCTATATCCTTAAATACCTTATTCTGAATAAGGCTATCATATTCAGTCTTTTCAAATGAGAAACTAGATTGAAGGTTTGGTGGGTTAAATTTTAACTCAAATTCTCATTGTTCATACTTTTCATAAAAAAACATGTTAATTTTTTTAGATACCTGAAATGCTTTTGTGTGATTCAGATGAACAAGAAAAGACTGGAAAAACACATAAGGAAGTTAAGAAAAAACATTCAGGTAATATTGAGGTGGACCCATTAGTTATGATTACTTATTATTAAACGCTTATTCAGTCCTGTGTTGGGCATAGATAGTGGCACAGATACTTTGAGGATGTTTTTGTCAGAAAATTCCTAGACTTTAGTATTGTTTACATGGCAAGCATTTTACACAAGGGAACATTAATCTGGAACATACATCCTGGCTGATCAAATCCAGTCTCTTCTGTCACAGGCAATCACTATGTATATTCAATTTTGTAAACTAATTAAGCTGCATCTTGTTTTGTTTTGTTCTTTGTCTTCCTTCTATATGGAAGTTATTTCACAGCCTCAAAATCTGATATTTTGAGAGTTTGTGAATCTATATATTTTCATTATTCTTGTCCTAGACCCACTCATTTTACTTTAATAATTCTTTATTTCCAGTAACTAATTTCTTCTAAGTAATGCCCCTTTTCTGAGTAATTTGTTTTTATAATCAAACTTCAAATTTAACCATGTTAAAAATAGAGTGTTAAACATAATCTAGGAGACCAGTGCCAGCACTCATTTGCATAATCATAGAATCATAGAATGTTTTGGGTTGAAAGGGACCTTAAAGATCATCTAGTTCCAAACCCTCTGCTGTGGGCAGGGACACCTTCCATTAGATCAGGTTGCTCAAAGCCTCATCCAACCTGGCCTTGAACACCTCCAAGGATGGGGCAACCTATTCCAGTGTTTTACCACCCTCAATGTAAAAAATTTCTTCTTTATATCTAATTGAAATCTACCCTCTTTCAGTTAAAAACTGTTGCCTCTTGTCCTGTCACTACCATGCCCTTGCAAAAAGTCCCTTTCCAGCTTTCTTGTAGGCCCCCTTTAGGTACTGGAAGGCTTCTAGAAGGTCTCCCTGGAGCCTTCTCTTCTCCAGGCTGAACAGCCCCAACTCTCTCAGCCTGTCCTCATAGGAGAGGTGTTCCAGCCCTCTGATCATCTTTGTGGCCCTCCTCTGGACCCGCTTCAACAGCTCTGTGTCCTTCTTGTGTTGGGAACCTCAGAGCTGAACACAGTATTCCAGGTGGGGTCTCACGAGAGCAGAGTAGAGGGGCAGAATCACCTCCCTTGACCTGCTGGCCACGCTCCTTTTGATGCAGCCCAGGATATGGTTGGCTTTCTGGGCTGCCAGTGCACATTGCCGGCTCATGTTGAGCTTCTCATCCACCAGCACTCCCAAGTCCTTCTCCTCAGGGTTGCTCTCAATCTATTCTCCACTTAGCCTGTACTTATGCTTGGGATCGTCCCAGCCCATGTACAGGACCTTGCACTTGGCCTTGTTGAACTGAGGTTCACATGGGCCCACCTCTCAAGCCTGTCAAGATCTTTCATTTATATTATATTATGTTATGTTATGTTATGTTATGTTATGTTATGTTATGTTATGTTATGTTATGTTATGTTACGTTACGTTACGTTACATTATATTGTATTGTATTGTATTATAATACATTTTTAGGCATTTCTAATAAAAGCATTAGTCTGAGTAGCAGACTCTGGAGCCAAGAGAGTATAAAGTAGTAAGTGATTCACTTGATGCTTCTTGTTCTGTATTGCTTTTTAATAGGCACTGGAATAATGGCCAAATTTAGGATTTAGTGTTCATGCTACCATCCATCTTTTTCCTAGATCCTGGTACTTAATCTGTGCCTCAGTACTTATTCAAGGCGTTCATTTATATGTAGATATGTTTCAGCAATTTTTTCTTTTGTAGGGTAATACAATTTATTTTATGGTATCTTTGGGCTTCTTTTGAGAAACTGTTGAACAACCTGGAATGTTTAGAAAAACCTTTTAGTCTACCCGTAATCAAAGACAAGGGAGAAGAGAAAAACACATGGGCTCCCTTTCTAAAAAATCCATGTATTTTCAAATTCAATTTCTATGGAAATAAAGTTTCTTTTATGATTAGCCCTCCATAATCAGCAATTAATTTTACCTTCTTTTACAAACATCAATGAAATATTTTGTAGCTTTCGATCAATTTCAGTATATTTCTTTCTGAGGGCTATGTATTTCAAATGTAATGACATGTTATTTAGGTACTTTGAAAGAAATTATAGTCTTTACGATATTTTGAATGTCCTTAATTCACATTTTAAAAAACATATTCTGTTGCTCGTCCTTAGTTATTTTAATGTGAGATAAGAAGCAGTATATTATTATCTGTGTAACAAATTATGTTGTACAGGTGATTCTGATTTTCTGAACTCATTTCTGGCAATCCATGAATCATGTAAAATGTATGGAGCAACACCTAGCAGATACATGACATTCCTTCATATATATAGTACCATCAATAACAGTAAAAGAAGAGAGCTAATAAAAAGGCAGAACCACTTGCAGGTATGTATTTAAAACATTTTTAACATATGGATTTTCAAAATACTCTCACATTTGGAAATGCCTTGTGTATTAATGGGCTGTAACTGCTGGCAAGATCATGCGAGGTGTCCTCTGTTGACATATGCTCATGCTGTGGTTTCAGGAAAGGGATAGTATCGATCTTAATGCGCATCTCTTTTCAAATGCCTCAAAGAGTGTAGAGTGGTTTCTTGTTTTCGTTAATATTTACAGTTATATCAGACTGGGTATATTTTCTTGGAAAACTAAAAAGTACTTGAGAGCACTTCAGATTTTTTGACCCATATGTGTTGAAATTGTGTTGCAAACAATCCATCAATGTTCCATCAATTTAAGTCCTACTTCTGCTTGTATAAATTTTCCCAATGTAGTTTCATATTCTGTCCCTGTCTATATATCTCTACAGCAACTTCCTGCTTTGTGTGATTCTTGCGTCCCTGTGATTCAACAAATCGTTATCTTTAACCTCATGGTACTTTTGTATTGCTTTGTCCAAGATTCCTTATGTTGGGATTTTCTCTAATTTTGTGATTTGAAATTGTTTTCATATTCCTTTCCATGTATCAAACCTTTAGACAGTTGTAGACCAAATGCATTTCATCTCACAACTACTGCTTTACTCCTGTTCTGTATGCATAACATACTTATTTTTGAAACTCATTTGTTCTCTTCCTGGTATACTTCCTTCCCTTCCCCCAGTAAGATTCTGGAAAGATGATCCTTTAAAACATGTAACTTTTGTCTTTACCCTTCTTCCTTCCTTTTCAGCTCCTTTTCCCAGTGAGCCTTGCTGCTGTTATGAAACCTGACTTGCAAAGCTCTATTTCTTCTTAAAGCATCTGTTAAAAACAAGTGACTTCTTTGCCTTGTGTTCTACACTGTTTTTAATCTGCCTGCCAATATTTTTCCATCACTGTAGTAAGGAATTTAGGAAGATTTATGTTTGTAATGATAGAAATTGCTTTTTTATTTATTTAGAAAGTAACTGTGATTTATTTGTGACAAACACTTATTTACTTCTTAAGTGCTCTGGTTAAATAAAAGTAATAATTTACATGAAAATTAGATATGTGTATCCTAAATCAAAACATCTTCCAGGTGATTTTTTTTTTAATATATCTTGAAATAATTCTAATGTCTGATTACTATAGAGTAAATAATTTAGAAAATGTGAATAAAGAAAATAGTTAAGCATAGTCGAGTCTTTGTTTTATGTACATCTATGTTCTTTAGAGAATGTAAAATATGTAGAAATAGGATAGTCTAATTTGTTTTGATTTGTTTAATTTTTGTAGTTTTGCTTTTAGAAGACATAAAATTACATGGAGTTAATATCAGTTAACTGAAATGCTGTTGAGTTAATGAGAAAAAGATTATGTACTAGTTGCTGTTCCATTAAAAGTTTGTTATTTTGAGAATTTTGTTTCCAGCTTTTTGATATAGTAATAGATCTTACAGTGACACATATGTAAGTGTCAAATCTCATTTTGGAATTAAATAATACAAAGAAAATGTAAATAATATCAAGAAAATGTGGAACATACATAAATAAAAAAATTAAGAATACTAGTCTACATCACTCTTAGTTTATGCATACTGTTTGTAACCCACCTTCATTTAAATCTGTTTAAAATTCATTGCTAAATAACTGCCTCTTATAAACTTTTATAGGCAGGTGTTTCGAAGTTGAATGAAGCTAAAGCCCTGGTAGATGAACTGAACAGAAAAGCTGGAGAACAAAGCATTTTGCTCAAAACGAAGCAGGATGAGGCTGATGCTGCCCTTCAAGAAATTACAGTATCTATGCAGGTGTTGTATAGAATCATATCAAAAGTAAAGAAAAAAATATATATATTTTTCTGTTTTGCTCTCCTTAACTGCCTGTGCTTTGTATTGTTTTCAAAGGTTACAAAACCTGGTGCTTTTACAAGAATTTGCCTAAGGGAATGCACGACCCCTGAGGCTTAAACAAACTTGCAACAGGACAGAGAATTATGTAATTTAGATCATATTTGAACTGATTGAGTAAGAAGAGATCACTGCAAGTTTTGCACTTGGATTGTATTTACTGCTGTAGTTTAGTCTGAAAGTTTTCCTAGAACTTCATAAATCCAAACTGATCCATTTTAAAATGTTTATTATAGATAGGAACTGTAAACAAAATACTGACAAGTAGCACTATTTTAGGTAACAAATACCAGGAATTAAATTTGTTGACTGTTAGAAAGTATGGATTTCATAAGGCCCAGTCTCTGAAGTTAACCTTAAAGAAAGTTAATGGTACCTTTGTGTTCATCACTCCTTGAATTTTTATTCTTCAGCTCAGAGGTTGACCTGGGCTTTTTAGGAGGTCATTTTCTTTAGTAGCATTTTCTCAGTTAAGTAAAATAATTATGCAGAAAATAGATCTCTACGTTGCTCCTTCCAGGAATCATCAGTGTAGGAAAAGCCATAATGAATCTGCTGTCACTGCACTATTTGTTTTGTCACTGGTTTAGTCTGATCGGCCTGAAACAAACTTAAATAAAGAAGCTCAAAGACAAAGACATTCTCTGTATGCAGTAAAGTAGGTGCCTGCTTTTCCAAACCATTTAGTTCACCATGCTTTAAAGGTGCATTACTTCCCATTTTTATGTCTACTTCTGTTGGCAATTTTTAATACTTTTAGGCTCTATCTGCCTATTGTACATAAATTTGAATAATGATGATTGGCTTGATATGTTCACTGCTGGCCTCAAAGAACTTGTTACACCGTTTCCCCTTATTTCTGTTTTATATCTGTGTCTGCTGTGGTCCAGTAGAGTTACAGGTTGTGTGGGTAGCACATACTACATTGTAGGACATAATCAAAGAATAGGCAAAACGCAATGAAACATGATGAGCCCACTGACTCAGAAAAATCAGAGTAGAATTCTGATTATTTAGATTAGCATAAAGTATAGGTGCCCTCTGACATTTTAATGTCACTTCAAATGTTCTGGTTTATGTAAAAGAGAAGGCTTTAATACATGCAGACTCTTTTACTTCTTTCAGAGCCATCCTCTTGACCTACAACTGAATTTTAAGGTTTTCTTACTCAGAGCTATCATTCAGTACATTTACATTTGCATGAAATGTCTAATCTGGTTTTATGTAGTTAATGTTTTATGGATTTGAATGTAATCTTCAATGACATGCTGGTCTATAGCTTGGGTTAAGTGCTCAGAAAGATTGTTATTAATCTCAAGGTTTTCTTTGCTTATTTACATCTATTACTTTCTGCTACAAGTTCAACTCAGCTTGACAATTGCTGGTTATAATAATGTGTTATATCCTGGAAAAATGTAATCTCTGGGCTTTGTTGTCTTGTATCTTTTAGGTGAACTTAGCCTAGAATATTAGTCTTTTATTTTATGCATTGTATGCATTTATCTTCAATTATCTGTTTTGTAACTGGTATTCCCTGTTTTGTGGGTTTTTTTTTTGTTAGTTTCAGGATATGTAAGGTCCTTTTTATTGTAGTTTTATATAGTAGGTATTTATTGTTATATTGAAGTGCTTAGGAGTCCTGGAGATGGCTAATAGCTACTGTCTGCTGTATGGTAGGCACAGTACAAATCCAGGAAAAAAAAAAGATGTAAACCTAAACAGCCTACAATATGTGGCCAGGACATAGGACAGGTATCCTTACAGACAGATGGGTGCAAATTTACAAGTAATGTATTAGTGTTTTTAGGCTATTAGGCTGTAGTTCTAACACAACTACTGCTTTTATGAATGTTATAGAAAAGGAGAGTTTTAGTGGTGCCATGAAAAAAATAGAAAGCAGCTACAAAAACAATGGCAGGAAGATATTTCAAGTGTAGCAAGGATGTTACAGATGCTGTCACTCTCATCCTTTTAGAGGAGGACTAACATCTGGATAAGGTATGGAAAATCAGAGGGAAGGAGAAAAACGGTGAAAATGAGCCTCAAAAATAGAGTTTCAGATTTTGCCTACGATGAAGAAAGGGAACGAGACAGTAAAAAAGATGCTTATTCCATGTCTCAAATATTTTATGTAGTTAGCATGGTGCAAATTATATTATAATCAAGACTAAAACAAATAAGAGACCTACAGGGATAAAATCTGTATGAATTTGAAAACTTAAGGTATTCTTTTTTACAGAGTGCTAGTGAGCAAAAAACAGAAATGGAAAAAATAAAACACCGGATAGCAGAAGAAGCTGCAGAAATAGAAGAAAGAAAAAGAAAAATTGAAGATGAGCTAAAAGAGGTTCAGGTAAAAGCTGATAAGGAAAAGTAATATTTTGCAGTCTGACTTTATTTACTTACTCAAGTCCTGCTATGCAAAATAGTTCTGCGAAATTTATCCCTGCATTTCTTAAATTTTGCTGTAAATTATTTTGATGTTAAAACTTTTATGCATTAGAAAACAGTATTCTATTTACCAGATTTAGATTGTCATTTTAGCATTTGTATTTTATTAGATCTTAAATATAGAAAGAATTTTCAGGCCAAATCTTTCCTCTTATTGCTAATTCTATGCTGCTGTGATCTGCAACAGAGTTCTGCAGATTTTATGAAATGCTTTTCAATTGCTAATGTTTTATATAGACCAACTACATTATTCTGCCTTGGTCAAGCTGGTAATATCATAGGGCTTGGTACTTGGTCAAGCTGGTAATATCATAGGGCTTGGTACTATCAGCTGAATGGAAATAACTTACTGAGAGATAATTTCCAGTTATTACTATATTCCAAAAATTGTAAATCCTAATGGCACTAGAGCAAACAGCTTGTTCAAGAGACCTTACAGCTGTTAAGTATCAGGTGTTTTGCGAGGCATGTATGTTCAGTCATTGCTTTTAGTCTCTATTTTTCATCCCATCCATTCAAAAATTGTACTAAAGAGCAGAGGAAAAGTACAGCAACTTAACTTTTTCCTTTTAAATGTCATAGGTGCCAAGAAATTACATCCCTGTATTGAAAGTGACATAGAACTACAGGATTAGGGTAAATCCCTTCCTGTGGTCTTTGATAAATATGAAGGATAAATATGAATGGAAATATATTTGTTATCATTTCAATACATGGCAATTTTTTAATGACTTGTGCACAGGAATATGCATCAGTGGCAGTTGATTAGGTAATAAAATGTATAAAAAGAACAAGAAATTATGTGAAAACTGAATGGCAAATGTTCAGTTTCTTGTATCTTCATCTCTTTTTTGGTGTGTTTTTATGTTTTAAGCCACTGGTTAATGAAGCTAAATTAGCAGTTGGAAATATAAAGCCAGAGTCTTTGTCAGAAATCCGGTCGCTACGGATGCCCCCTGACATAATCAGAGACATACTTGAAGGAGTTTTACGGCTGATGGGGATTTTTGATACATCATGGGTGAGCATGAAGAGGTGAGGATTTTATTTAAGCTTTGAACTTAACCAGTACTTTACAATATAAATACTTTGATTTATATTCAGGAATAATGTGTGTGCAGGATTCTTTGGATTCATAGAGAAATAACCTCTTTAACGTTTCTTTCTTCTTCACTTACTTATTTAATTCTTTTTATAGTTTCTTGGCCAAAAGAGGCGTGAGGGAGGACATAGCAACATTTGATGCCCGCAATATTCCAAAAGAAATACGAGAGAGTGTTGAAGAACTTCTTTCTAAAAACAGAACATCTTTTGATCCAAAGGTAATTTGTGATTGCATTACATAAAATGAAAAAAGATGAAAAAATAAAAGCCATGATTGTCTGATTTGCCAACATAATTTTTAGAATGAACTTAGAGAAAAAGTTATGAATTCTGCTTACAGAATTGGTCAGTATAAAGAGGTAAAAGTGTAGCAGAGGTTACTCCGTTGCAGACTGCCTCCAACAGTGAGAATTTTGTTGGTGACTGAGGAGTGGTGGGATGAGAAGTCATTATGAAGTCAAGTCCTCAGATATTTTTGTCACTGGTATAAATTAGAACTCAGATCAAGGAATTGTAACTGAATCCTTCTAGCCTTCATGTAGCAGTAAGAGTGTTAACAATACACTTAATTAAAAAAAGAGGGACTAATGATGATTAAATGTATGAATGATTTTTGAGAATTGGTTTGGCAGTAGCTATAAAAAGGAATTCTTAAATACTAGTTCCTTATTATTAAAAGGAAAGTTGTAGTTACATGAGAAGGAAAACACTGATAAATTATGCATTAATTTAAAACTTCTTAAATTCAGTGAAGTTTCATAGTTGTGAAGATACCTATTATTTTTATTTTACACAGATTGATGGCCTACAATATAATCTCTCAGTAACACTTTAAAAGATTAGTTCAGTAGAGGAGCTAGCTGATTGGCATATTTGAGTTGATAAGTTGTAAATCTGTTGCAGTTATTTATCCTGTGTTTATCTCATCTACATTACACTTCAAGGACTTTCTTGTAACGGTTGCTGATTTTTTTCAGAATGCTAAACGAGCCAGCGCTGCAGCTGCTCCATTAGCAGCTTGGGTGAATGCCAATGTCCAGTATTCCCATGTCCTAGAAAGAATTCAGCCTTTGGAAAAAGAAAAGGCTGGCTTGGAAGCGTAAGTTAGACACTGTTATAAAATAAATGTTTTTAATTCCAATGTTGGTGGGTGAAACTAAAGCCTCCAAGGAGGAATTGAAGTTTATTAAAAACCAAAGATGTAAGAAAGCATACCTCATCCATAGGTAATAAAGCGTTCATGCTGAGACAGAACAAGTAAGAATGCAATATTTTGTTTTTCCTGGAAGCCATGCCTTGGGTGTTTTTCGGCCAATTAGAAGTTACCTGTCTCAGCTGAAATGCGTCAGGGAAAAATGAACATCACAGATATGGAATCTATACTGATTGATTTGCCGGGTCTTAAAGTTCTCTATTGGAAGAATTTGTTTTGATCTTTAAGAACACATTTGAATGGGGTGTTTAGTTCCATTTTTAAAACTATGTGATGAGAAGTAGTCAAAACTTTTACATGTGAAAACAGAGTTTTGTTAATATAAATCACAAGAAAGAACCATCTCTGAACTATTTCTGTGTAAATGACTTTCCTGTTACTTTTACTCTTTTTTTTTTTCCCTTTGGATCCTTAGTCTTAAAATAAATGTTACATTTTTGTAGTAATCTCAAGAAAACTGAAGGCAGAAAGCAGAAGTTAGAAGATCTTCTGAACTCTGTTGGTCAAAAAGTATCGGAACTGAAAGATAAGTAAGTTTATTTCAAGATATAAATAAAAACATTGGTGATTTTACACTATGAAAATTAAATTTAGCTAACCAAATGTAAATCCCTTCTCTGCAAGATATTTACATCAGAAGTAGCAATAATTAGGCTGTCTACACACTCCGCGGAGATAAATGAATACTGTTAGAATGCAGTTCATCTCATCGATCAAATGAGATGGTCCTCAAAAGTACTGACTGCTTCTCACTACTGAATGTGTTGGAAGCCTTCGCTGTAGACATTGTAGATGTGAAAGATAAGCAGTATGTCTCTCACTTTTTAAATCTAAATGGACTTTAATGTTTCCTTAGGACTTCGGAAACATATCTATACGAGACTTCTACTGATCACAGCTTGAATAAAGGCACTTCTAGTTCTTTTAGGATGGTTTACTTTTCTGACAGTTAGCTAGTTAGCCGTCTCTTTTTTTCTTACCATCTCATCAAATATGTGACTTACAGTGCCATAAAAATTGCTGTGGTGAACTTTTATACTTTCTCCAAATTCGGTTTAATCCAAGTTTTTTAGTTCAATGTTTCCATTATGTAGTTAGGATGGGAGATACTTTACAACTTGACATATATGTGTATTACTAAAAGTCATGTTTTGTAGTCTGCAAAAAGGAGTAAATTGGAGAATTCTTCTTGTCACTCAGCTATATAGCGATGTCTGAGATTAACTAGACACTATATACTATATGATATAAATATATAAGTGTATTACTAAATATAAAATATAATTACTAAATTTACTAACGTACCTTTTATGTTAAATAAATTACTTTAAAAGGTGGATTATTAAATACATTAATTACGTTAATTAAATAGTAATTAGTCTGATTAGGTATTAAAAATTACAAACTAATACCTAAACCTTGCCTGTTGTTTAGAGTATGTTCTTATTTCATAGTAGTTTACAAGATAGATTACTGTGCATTGAACTGGGGTCATCCATATCAATTAGCAATATCTCCTTTACAGGTTTTGTAGATTAAATTTACCAAAAAGTTACAAATCATGGAATCATAGAATGGTTTGAGTTGGAAGGGACCTCAAAGATCATCTAGTTCCAACCCCCCTGCCATATGCAGGGACAGTATGTATAGTATGGCATTGAGTCTGCTATTGTCCTGGCTAAGTGCAGAACAAAAATTAACACAATCACTAAAATCAAGTCAGGCTGTCTAAGTAGAAGAAGAAATGATTTTCAGACGTTATAGTCTATATTGAAAATGTATTTTTAAATCTCACCTTGTGCATCTATCTAAATTTTGTTAGTTAAAAGTCTGACAAGCTCATCTGCCAGTTAGAAGCAGAAGATATAAAAAAGAATTGTAGTTGTGTTCTTCATAAAGAATAAGGGAGAAATTAATTACAAATTCAGTCAATTAAACTGCTTTGAAAATAACTGTCCATAAGTTTAGTAGTTCATGATAGCAGTTACAAACAGTAGTTGTTTTGCAGGTTCCAGAGCAGAACAACAGAAGCAGCAAAACTTGAAGCAGAACTAAGTAAGGCTCAGAAAACATTGAAAGCTGCAGAGGTATTGATAAATCAACTCGATAGGGAACATGAAAGATGGAGCACCCAGGTTAGTGAAAATTTGCATAGGTATATTTTATAGCTGATAATTTGAAAATACAACTTTTGCACTGTTTAGAGAACGTGAGTTATTGCTAGTCTGCATGTCTCCTAAGTGTACATATTATTTGATTTCTCATTAGGAATAAAAGTTGTTTTTCCTTCTAAAACTTAGTTTTATTTCACTGTAGAAGTTACCTTACCTATATCACATAGCTATAGAATGTGTAAAAAAAGCCCTTGGTATTTAATATAGAACTTAAAACGTTCTTTAATGTTTTTCAATCGCAATATCAATGTACTTGTTATGGTGGCTAAAAATGTCAGCAGTCGGACCCTCCAAGTTGAGGTACAATCAAAGGTACAGATTTTGGGAAAGCGTTAAACAATCACAGTCTTAAAACATACCTCCTTTATGGCATTGATGCAGGAAATGCAAATGTAGACCTACCCAAAACGTTGGGTTACTTTTGAAGTCTTCACTTACATGT